CTTTATGGAGCCCGAATATAACAGGATGCATTTTATACGTATGAAAATCATATAGTTCCTTTTGGTGATACCACTTTTATTTCATGCGGAATTTTAATGCCCGAAGTTGTTTTTATTGACCGTGTACCGGGTATTTGTATTGTTGGGTTCTGGTTGATGTCCGGTTCTACTACGTATTTTATTGCGTTATATGTATTTTTGAACGATATGTGATATTTACGTATGCGTGTAGTTTTTCGTATGTGTACATTATGTTAGAAAATATTGGATCGTTTACAGTAGAATAATGCAATTAAAAAGTGATTGAAAAATAACTGAAAATGGAATTCTTGATAAGACAGGATTAAAATCAGAGGAAGAAATTGGACTGGTAAAAAAAAGGGAATTTAATGCAAGATTTGTGAACGTGCAATTGCTTTAATACGAAATTTTTTAATCGCGTTGTACGGGGTTTTAGTGTGCTTCATGGGAAGAGAAGTTGAAGTTTCTTAGTGGAAAAATGTAAAAGAATAGGTGGTGTATTATATTATATTTCAAATGTATATGTGTAATTATAGAGAAACAATAAAATTAGAATTGTTAATCTGCATTTTTACCCCCGCCGTTGAAAAAGTTGTTCTCGTTCTTAACACATTACGTGCCGGCTAATTTTCAGAAAGCTGCATTGTGCGGATGACAATTTTCAGTAAGATCAACTTATATCACTATACGTACAAAAACTCATAAAACAAATCAAATCATATTGTCATGTAATATATTTTAAATACATAATCAGTTCAAATCAAATTTAATATTTTTTTAAATGCTGTGGTAATTAGCAAATTTGAGTAGTTAAGTGTCTTTATATAAAAACGAGATTTCTTGTTACCAGTACGGAATGTGTTAATAAGGTTTTTATTAAGGGAAACTGCTTCATTAGTTACTATATAATTACTAGGGAAGATGCGAAGTCCTTGACCATGCAATATGATAATTTCAAATGAAAAATTTATATAGTTTTCTGTAAACTGATCGAGATGAATTAATTAAGAAAGAAAATACTAAAGTACTTCTACTTGTTGAAATGAAGTAATGATAACATAATGTAATAAAGAAAACCTGAAATAAATTTAATGTGGAAAAAAATAGAGAACAGTAGATATTACTTTTTATTTTCTTTTATAAATTGCGTATATCAGAAGCAATGTAAAGAACTCAGACTTGAATTTTATTCTCTTAAAAACTGGTTAAGTGGTTCTAATATTTTAAATAAGTAAACGAAAATGTAGTTTATTCTGTAGTTATTAACTTTTTTATTTTTTAATGCATAAAATTTACTTCCGTTATATCTACACTTATGCAAACTGTATTTATCGATTTCGAATTTACTAGATTTTGCAATTTATTGTTTGTCATTAATCGTTGTTAATAATTCTTTTAGTTTTTATTAAATCATGTTTGTTTCTCATTTCTTATTGATAGAACGATAATGTCAAAAACTATGCCGTTTTTTAATTAAAATTATATTAAAAATAAAAATTTCTACTGTAAAAGTTAATCAAATTTTTTTCGTTTAGTTCTACATGACATAAATTATTTTGTCGGTATTTATTACAATATTTTAATGGTTACATTCTAAGCTAGATATATGATACATATATTTTAATTTATTACTCGCGTGACTGTTAAATTTTCTACACAGTTTTTTCGACATTGCTTAAATCTTTGATTGCTGCAGTAGTAATAATAATTAGAATATAATTGAAACTGAACAAAAATTTGATTCACTTAATACATCACTAGAAAATTCAATTTCTAGACGTGAATCTAATTGTTTCTTATTTATGATTGACGTATGATCAGTGTGTTAAGAATTGTATGAAAATATTATATAATTCATTGTAAAATAAGTTTTTATGATCAATTTTCGACAGCTGTTACTTTCGGAATGTAAGAAGATACGTATAATTATTTCTTGCGCTCTTTAAATTTACTCAGCACACGAAGGTCACAGTTCGAGTAACATCGTACTAACTCCGTGACTTTTTCAGGTGCTGTTACTTCCTTATCGAGAAAAGAAGAGGCAGCGGAGCAAAGCCGTAGGAAAGTAGCGTTACCAGCGTTGCACAAAAAGCCGGCTCCACCGGAGGAGCAAGGCGAATACGACGAAGACGAATTTCAGGATCAATGTCCTGAACCCAACGGTTATTTTCCTGACCTAGAACAATGTGACAAGTACTACGATTGTAGGGACGGCAGAGTCTCCGAGAAACTTTGTCCAGACGGTTTAGTATTCAACGATTTCAGCCCTCAACACGAAAAATGCGATCTGCCCTTCGGAATTGATTGCTCGAAAAGACCGAAATTACGTAAGTATTCTTCGATAAATAAAATTCGAATCCTACTGCAGAATATTACATATAATGTAATGTTAACCCCCTGCCCTATGATTTATTTCTTAACTATGATTCGTACAACTTTATCGTTAATAATTGATTAGAAAAAGAAACAAATTTCATGCTTATTCTATGTCTACGTTTACTTCAAAGGTTAATGATTGATAATAGAAAAGTATTATTTAATTTATATTAAAAAAAATAAATAAAATTTGGGTTTCTCAAATCCAGTTTAAAATTTTCGTCACGAGTCTGACACTATGTTGTAGGTCAATGGGTCAACCTCTTCCAATCCTATGGATCAGAATAAAAACAATCCCTAAATATATATATTTATACTATTAATTAATTAAGGTTATATACCATTAAGAGTAATTTGAAAAAAGAAGTTAAAAAATTAACGTTGTAAATGTTTACGTTGATTTGATTTATTGATGAATTTTATAAAATATTTACTATGATTTAGAATGTAAAAGGTTAACCCCTTGCCCTATGATTTCTTTCTGAACTGTCATCGATCTAACTACGTTGTTATTAATAATTTATTGAAAATAAGAGAAAATTCCAGTCTTACTCTATGTCAGCGTGTGCTTTAAGGTGTAATCATTGATAACAGAGGAATAATATATAATTTCCATTCAAATAAATTGAATAATATTTATATTTATTAAATTCTATTTGAAATCTTCACCACAACTCTGATACAATATATTATAGAGCAAGTGCATAATCGATAAAATAAAAAGAATCGAAATAAATGAAATTATATATACAGAGAAACCACAGCCGTCCCCGCATTGCCCACGGATGCACGGCTACTTCGCTCATGAGGATCCCCGGATATGCAACACGTTCTACTACTGCGTCGAAGGGAAGTTCAATATGATCACCTGTCCGGACGGTCTGGTCTTCTCCGAGAAGACTGGCATTTGCAATTGGCCCGACGAAGCGCAGAAGAAGGGCTGCGGTTCTAGAGAACTTTTCAATTTCACTTGCCCGAAAGTCGACGAGGCGATCGCCGCCACGCATCCCAGATATCCTGACACCGAGGACTGCCAATACTTTTATGTCTGCGTGAACGGCGAAGTGCCCAGAAGGAGCGGTTGCAAATTAGGACAAGCTTTCGACGAAAGGACTGGGAAGTGCGACTGGGCAAGAAAAATACCGGAATGGTAATTTTTAATACCAAATGGACGATATTAAATTAATTTGTCCATTCATACAAGAATTATAAGTGTTGCAAGGAATAGATATGCAGTTTATTTATGTAAATGTGGATTTTTAAATATTACAGCAAAGATTGGTACAAAGGCCAGCTGACTGACGAGGAATTAGATGCACTAGAGAATCCACCGCCGAAACCGAAACCCACTGGTGGGCCTAGCAGAAGAAAAACCACCAAACGGACGTAGATTTAAGGATAAATTCATATGTAGATTTTAATATGCATTGACTTATTAAAACATCACTTGGAGAATAAAACAATTTTAATAGAATTGTCTTTATTTTTTGTCGATACAATGAAGAAACACGATGAAATGGCAAAATTGTATGTGGTTGTTAATTGAGGGACAGGAGATTATATATGTATTAAACGAATTTAAATAAAAGGTTATAAATTTAAATGAAAGGTTTTAAAACTAGAACAAAAAAAGATGGTAATTATTAAAAATATTTTATATTCATAATTAGTGACAAATATTTAGAATTATGTATGTTAGATTTCGTAGAAGTTTTTTATTAAGTAGTTCTGAGTGCAATCTTGTACTTCTGCTATGTTTTGTATTTAAATCTCGCAATCTAACGTTTTCTAAATAAACAGATTTGCTTATTTGTGTTAACATGAACACTACCACAGGAATACTACTTTTTCTTTCGCTTTAATAACAAATTCGAATCGCGTGTTGTCACGGGAATTTTCCCGTGAGGAGTGAAAGTGATAGAAGCCTGAAAGTTCTTCACATTTCACGGGATACGCTTCCGAAATCTAGTTGTCCGGACAGTGGGTTAGCGACGCGAGGCTTTCAAGGTGATAAATTTAATTTAGTATCGCTTTCATAACTATTGACTCGAAGCAATTTTATGTAACACAATGATAACCTAAAAAAGATGCATACTTCACAATTGCTGCAAGAATTTTTTAACACAAATTAATCTTACATTTTAAATTGATTAAAACTACAATAAAAAATCTTACATAAAATGTACCTATAAATTCTAAGAAAAGAAATACACTTAATAAATGTAAGTAATTAAATTCATTGCATAAATTGTAAACGTAATTCTTACGTTTAATAAATGTCAACAACAAAATAATCGATAATTGAATTACCGGATCATAAAAAAAATGTTAAAATAAGTTTGCGGTGGAGTAACTAACAAAAATAGCATTTACAAGACATAATATTTTTACCACTAATTTGATAAATTATTGAAATTATAAGTTAATTAGAGCGTAAAATAATAATTGTTCAATCTACCTATTCTCAGCAATTCAAAGAATAAAACTCAAACTAAATAATCCTTGATCATTTGCTTCGCGATCAATGATTTTCGCTTTTCTCTTCAAAAACGTCCGAACGGTGTGGTAAAATTAAACTTAACACACGTACTCCAATAACGCAAATCCGGCAATCACAAAATACCATACCGTGGCATTTATTATTTCCTCGAAATTCCAATTAGCGTGAACGATCCAACATGTTTTGATCAGATAATAATATTGTCCGCGTAAGAACACGAAGGAAAAAGTCTATCCTCATTAGACTTAAAGTGATTTCCATTTCGAAACATTGGAAAACCGCAACGATCATTCGCGGAGATCACGTTAATTTGAATTTATCTGTGAAGAATGGAGAAGGACGTGAGGTGAGAGTGCGCCGCGAAGAAGAGGAGGAAGCTGAATAACCGGACGCCGTGCCGCAGACAAAGAAAGAAGAGTAAAAGCGTGTGGGTCCCCTGATCAATCCTGCTTCCAGACAGTTATCCATCGATGAAAACGCGGCGTGAAAGTGGGGAAGAATCATTCGATGTAGTGGGGACCAATGGGGTATACCCTCGTGGTGAGGTGCCGAAGAGCTGCAGTGTTTCGCGACGGAGACGGCATTTCAAAAGGGAACCAAAAATATCGATTACTCTCCGAATTCTTTTCAGTGTCCAGTGACCGGGGTAATCCTCGTCGGATTGCGTGATATTCATTGTATCTGATAAAAACCGGGGAGATTAAGATGGTGAGAGCAACGTTCGTAATTCTGTTAGCTGTCGTGGCGGCGACGCGTAAGTATTTCTGAAAAATATGCTAATTATACTGGTATTATGTTAGTTCCATCCGAAATTGTGTTTGCGCAAATGGAAGTTGCAATTTAGAATTTTTATTATATTATTCTGTTAACGTATATATTATAATTTACATTAGAAAACTTTTCGTTTGTATTACGTCTGACTACTTGGAAGTTTCGTAATATTTAAATGTTTCTTTTCGAAATGAGAACTGTCCAATAGAGAAGACATTGTGTTGAAATCATTTTTAATGCTATATATTACCGCTTCTTATCACTCTAATTAACTCTGAAAAAATTCAGCAATAAATTTTATAAAACCTAAGACATTCTATATAAATATCCTCTTAATTCATGCAATAGTGAAAAATTGCATTTTTCGATATGTTTAATCAATTCACTGATGTACATGACGATGTTGTAAGAGTATAAAGTTTCTATGTACCGAATGAAATGAAAAATAGTGCATTGTAATTGGTAAGGAGAAAAAGAACGGTTTCACTGGAACAGACTCGGTACTTTCTCCCGACTCGCTGGCACGGTCCACGACAGCTTCTAAAATGTAATAGAATTTCCGGTATTGTAATAATCGCGTGGAAACCGGTGAAATTTCATAACGATTTGAATATCTGTACGCCGTTGTCCATCCCGTGGCAAAAGAAAAGGGAAAAAATTAAATTTCCTTGGCGGTGTATCGCTGCCACGAAGGTATTCATTTCACGCGGAGAGTGCGTAAGCGACAGTCACACCGAACTTTCTAAAGCGTAAATGTCAGATCTACGGCTCGGAAGGTTGCATAAGGTATCCGACTCTAGTTATCGTCTCTATACATATGTAAAGCCAATAAATTACATAAAGAAACAAAACAATACCGATCGCGGTCGAACTATTCGAGAGATACGGGACGAGAAGTTGAGCGGGTTCGACCACCTCGCATTCACTATCACACTTTTCACTGAGCTACTTTATATGCTTCTTGAAGCGTGGCATTGATTTCCGGTATATCTTACACGGTAAATGCCGCATGTAACGCGGAGAAATTTCAGAAATTTCTTTCCCGTTTCGTATTCCTATGGGCTCTCGAATTTTGTGAAGTGAATCGAATACGGTGAAAAATATCCCGCAATGAAATTTTCAGTCTATTGTAACGTAATAATTCTTACTGACGCTGGTATTCTTTTTATACCACGGAGAAAATGGTTTCGGGTGAAATCATTGAAATTTCGTGGGAATTAATGTAAATGTAAATCGTGTCGTTAAGGTATTTACGAAATTTAGTTTTTATACTTTTTTGTGAAGAATATAAGACATTAGTTCTTCCATAGATTTCACAAGAGATTTTGTATACTGAATTTTTTAGGCGACGCTTAATAACAAGTAAACGTGACTTGTAGAAAATCGAGAAAGCTGTATGTAATTCGATTTCAGATATTTTCACCTGTATGAACTTGATGTACAGTGATTTTTGAATGTTTTGCAGAAATTGAAGTTTTTAATGCTTTTTTTTATTTTCAGTTTAATAACTATGCGACAAAGCCATTAATTGAACCCGTAAGAAATAAAAATTGCAAACAATAGACATCGACTCTTATATGACCCTTCGAGGTGATATCTATTGTTTGCCATTTTTATTTGAAAATAAAAAACTTTAATTTCCGCAAAAATGATCAATTGCAAGATGAAATGTCAAATTCCTTTTTTTCGAGAATAGAACTTTGTAAGAAATTTTGTACCATATTTTTTGCTTTGTTAACTAACCCCAAGTTTTAAGAATTTATGTACCTAACAATTTATGTAAGAACAATTGGAATAATTATTTTTCCCATTTAATCATTTATTTTAATACAATTAGACAATTATTTATCACAGAATATTATACTTAGCTATTTTCTTTTTATTAGAATAGTTTTCTGTACAATTTTTCGTAACATTCCTTTGAACTATTGCTTTAGAAGGATAGAAAAACATTCATTTTAAGTTTTGAACTTGGTTACTTTCTATTCTGTAGAAATATTCAGTTTGAAAAGGTAAATATCACTGTTTTTAATTAATCGTCATAAATGAAAAATTTCATTATTATGAAATATCACTATTTCAAAAGTAATCGTGATCAACGAAGATTTTTATTGCTGTAAAAGTAAATATCACTATTTTAAAATTTTGTTATCTTGAAAGGATAATGAAAATTTGTTTATACGATACATACTGAATATTGTAGATGGAGCATTTAATTGTCCCAACAAAGATGGTCAATACGAGGATCCGAAACAATGTGACAAATACTACGAATGTGCTGACGGCGTTGGAACAGAGAAACTCTGTCCAGATGGTCTCGTTTTCGACCCACTAAATCGTAAGGTCAACAAATGCGATCACGTGTTTAATGTGGATTGTGGGGACCGTCTCGAACTACGTAAGATTACAATTTTAGCGTTAGTTTGAAAATTTATCTTTAAAACCTGTCTTGTACCATTCACTGAATTTCAGTAAAATTTTGTTACCCTTTCACCAATTTCCAATAAAGTTATATCGCTTGACAGATTTCCTTCTAACTCAAAGATAATACTTTAAAGATAACTATTAAAACTCTTAGTTCTCGCTTTCAATAAATTTATGTTCAATTTAAAATTATATTCACACAATTATATTTATTGTGCCTTAAAACGCACATTTCTATTTTCACTTTTTCATAAACCGATTTCTAACTTTCGACTGGTAGCTCGCGTGAATACTGTCGAAGGATTTTATCGCAACCATCTTTTCGTGAAATGTTCATATCGAGCGTTAAAAATATATTATCTAGAATAAAATGGAGGGTTATGTTACCGTGCCGATGGCTTTTGCGGTTAATGTCCTTGATGTACAAGATACAGTGACGATTGCTAGCGAAAGTGCTTTTCATTCCCGTTATATGTTCGACCTTCACAGAACCACCGCAACCGACAAAGAAGTGTCCGCGAAGAAACGGTTTCTTTGCCCATCCGGATTCATCCGTCTGTAACATCTTTTACAACTGCATCGATGGCGAGGCGATCGAAATCACGTGTACCACTGGTTTGCACTTCGATGAGTACAGCGGAACCTGCGTTTGGCCCGACAGCGCAGGTCGCGAGGTAAATATTCGAAATTTAACCCTTTGCACTCGATTTATTTCTAATGTTGTTAGGTGTAAACTTGTATTTATTTTTAGGAAAATGAATCAAAGTAATTTACAGCCGTAGAATTCAACGTTTTATATTTGTTTTATTTATTTATTATTATTATTATTATTATTATTATTATTATTATGAGATTTAATTTTTATAACCTTTTAAATGTGATACTTTTTAAAGTATCACAAATAAATTATAACAAATTTGTATTGTCATTTCCAGCATAACATACGAGTGCAAAGCATTAATACTAAAACTACCAGACAGGTAAAAATGACCTATTCCTGATTTCTTCTTTTTGCGATTATTAAAAAGATGATAGATGTTTCTCTGAGAAATTGTTAAAGAAATCGATTTAGCAGTACGCACAGTGAACTATAACTCAATTACAGTCTCGATAGATTTATTCTTGGAATTTCTATAGAGGAATTTCAGACAGTCGATTTAACTACACGGTAGTTTTAGTGTTAACAATAGATTTACGAAACGAGCTAATTTGACTCATACTGAATTTTATAAACATTATTTGGTAAATGTTTGGGTCGATTTTGATTGATACAGTTACGCAAGTATGTATCCCAATTTTCTAATTTTGAAGCTGTGATTTCCAAACTCTAAATGAACGAATATCAATTTTTCTAAGGACCGTAGCACAAACTGTACAATAAATGCTCGTAAATATGGCATTAAAACGTAAAAGACAGTTTATTAGTTTAATAATAATAGTTTAATTAATAAACACAGGGAACAACGTAGCAGTATATAAGTACAATTCTTCAAAATAATCTTTTCTTTCGTAATTTTTAAGCTATTTGCAATAGAACTTCCGTGTTTTGAGAAGTTCAATCTATTAACAATTAATAAGTAATTTCATTCTTTGTCCTTTTCATTTTTCAGCAATACTAAATTGTGCCCTATTATTTTTTGACAAATTTTTATACACATTTATTTTGTTCTTTTTTTAGGTATACATAAATAAAAAGTCGCTTTATAAATATCACGAAATCTGAAAGATACAATGGTAATTAATTAAAGTACGTGCAAGCATACTTAATAAATCACGTGTAAAAAAAGTCTAATTTTTTAGAAGTTGCTAATTTATGGATTTATTTTTATTTCGTTTTAATAAGCTATTAGTAACTGTTTAAATTCGTGTATATGTGTTCTTCGATATGTTGTCCTATTAATTTCATATTATTTACTATTACAATTTAATTTCCACTCCTAACCATTGTTACTTGATTCAGGTGCTTCCCATATTAGTAGTTCGCAATTATAACAATTACGTAGCACCGTATAATTGCTCAATGGTGTGACCCATAATGATTAGTTCGGTAATTGGCTATTTAGCACTATGTGCAAATAGTGATGCGGAATCGGTAATGTGCAAACGTTAACATGAAAACGCAGAGTATTATATTAATTCTAAGCGAATAATTAAAGCGCTTACAATACCGTTCCTAGGGTTGTGGAGTTGTAGACAAGAAGTTGAAAGATGGCTTCGAGTGTCCAAAGGAAAGTCAGGTAGACACTAGAGGAATGGTCGTTGATCATCCTAAGTTTGCTCATCCAGACGACTGTCAGAAATTCTACGTTTGCTTGAACGGAGTAACGCCACGCGAACAGGGTTGCAGCGACGGCACCGTTTATAATGAAGAACAGCAAAGATGCGACGCGCCTGAGAATGTTCCCGGCTGGTACGTACAGGAAATTAAATTTTTAACAGGAAAATAGAAGTGCCAAATAAAACTTTAGCGATCGTTAGGATGAGAAATTGTAGAAACTGAATTCTTTACTTGTGTTACAGTGAGGATTGGTATAAGGATGACGACAAAAAGCCGTGAAAAGCCTTCAAAATTAATATGTCCCGCATCGGGATCTCGACTTCATCGTGAAATCACATCATCTTCGTTTAGTGTGTAATCCATGTGTGTGTTTAGAGTGTTCGTAAATAATAAATCCTATTTTACCTTATTCAAGTATTATTTTCAATCCTTCCTTAGCTTCGAAGTAGAGATTAAAATGTTGTGGTCGTTGATTGAAGTATTTTCAAATACCTGATTTTCTATTACCTGTTCTTTATTGTAAAGTACTTCGTAAAGTAATTCGAGTCATTATAAGATTGTTAGAATTCTGAACTAAAAAACGATATTACAACAGATCTGATAATTCACTTTCTCGGAGAGACATGCCGACGAAGATACAGGAAATCTTTGACTTCTCCTTCATATTCAACCAAGCAAATCGACAAGAACTTTCTCCTAGACGTTGAATTTTTTTTTGCTCTTCAATCTACTGAACTGACGACTTTCGTGTTAATGTACTTTTTACACGCGTGCACCGACAACGATTTGTTTTCTATTCGTAACAGCTGTTTTCAGCGTATACGGGGTGTCCCGTTTTAATTCATTCGAGAACGTTTCGTAATTATCGGTAATATCAAAGAATGTTGCATAGAAGTGAAACTAAGTAATTTCGAAAGAAAAATTATATAATCGACTGATGTTCGATGCAGTTTCTGTGGTCATAAATAATCTTCGACACTCGAAGGTACTGTACACATTTCTGGAAAATCTTGTATTTTTTTTTACGCTAGACGTCGTAGAACTTGTAAAACATACATGCAGTGATAATTACGTAATTTGTAATGATAAGACATTATAAGTCCTAAATAATCCAGTACAGATTTCCTCTCTCCTGGAATCATTTCATACTTTTATAACAACTTTCTTAATTACTGTTTTATAAAATTCCTCTTCCTGCTATAAGAAGTATAAGGAAACTTTCGTTCCCTTCGTATTTCTTGATTCAGTTTCACCCTTTTCTCTTCCATACTTTCTTTTAGACAAATACATTTCTTCAGTACTGTTCATTCGTAATAAAATATTCTTCGGTGGTGGCAGAGTGTAAATAATTTAGAAAGAATGAACAAAGTAAGTAGCTACGTTATAATTCAAATTGTTTTACTTAATATAGTAATAGTAGTATTACGTAATATCCAGAATAATGCAATTAGTTATAGTTATTATTGTCACAGTTTTACTCCATGAATTCTGTCGTAACGCGTCGACTCTGCTTTCAACAACAAATATAACTACAAATTTCTGAATTAAAAAGAAAATTTTATTAATTAATCGGAACAGATGATGTTAATCAATGAAGAAAAAATTCTATTTTGACGATTTTAAAAAATGCGCGACGTTCTTCGAATAATATAAAAACCTTAGTTCTACTTCTACTTCACATTTCCAAAGAAACTTTAACGAAAATCTATTTGGAGACAGTTCCTTTCAAAGCAAGGAAAAAACCTGAACGTGACTAAACATCAACTCCACCGACGGCATTGCATTTGAAACCCCCAAAGTTATTTGCACAAAAATTAACTGGAAAGGAAGAAAAAATATCGAAAAAATTAAGTGTTTAAAAATATCGTTATCCTATAACCGATAATTTATTATCCTATCATTACTCTTTATTAGCATTATTAATTCATCATCTTCATCTATATTATTAACACACGTCTATGATAATATTAACACTAATACTACCGAGCATTTAATACGATTGATATGTAATCCCTGTAAAAATTGTAACAGCAGATTGTTTTCAGTTTCTTCAGACATTCATTATGATATTCAAGTGAAACTATTTATTTTCAAAATCATTCCGAATATTCAATACCTCAAAGATATAAACACTAAAACTACCAAACGGGTCAAAATAACCTATCTCTGATTTCTTCTTTTTGCGATTATTAAAAAAATAATAGATGTTTCTCGGAGAAACTATTAAAGGATTTGATTTAACATTCCGCAAATTGAATTATAAACCAATTAAAATCTAAATAGATGCATTCTTGGAGTTTCTATAGAGGAATTTCAAGAAGTCAATTTAATTGCTTGATAGTTTTAGTGTTAATAATTGCCAAATAAAGAAACCGATAACAGTCATTTTGTTCTAGCATTAATACATATATATCTGACGTATGATGTACTCTACTGTAGCTTTGGTTATATTAAAATATCAGACACATATGACTCTTATATAAAGTGCTCTGTTCGGTTTATTTATTATGTTCTAAATGTTTACAAATTATACGAATAACATATCGCGTAAAACAATTTCAAGAAAAGCACGGTCCACAGTAAGGGTATTTTAAATGTGATCGTGGTCTCGTACGTGTTAAGCAATCGATTACATATAGGGAATGACATTTTTTTTTCATTAAAAATATGGAATTTTTAGTTTCGAAGCAATATAATGAGAATATTTTTACTAAGTATAGAAAATTTGCTTACTGAATATAAGTCCAAATCTAAGTCTACAGAGGCAATATATCCTCAGAAACATTGTCACAGTGCCATTGTAAATTTTACCTCTTATGTAATATAATTCAAGAAATGGTAAAATAATATTCCAAAATTTGATGTGCCCAACAAATTTTTGGTACCAAATGTTGGTTGTTTGCAGTCAAAGTGGCTGCATACGATCCTTATTATTTCCAGTGCCTTTATTTAAAACAAAAACAAAAGGCTATCATTATTTTCTACATGTTTCACAATTATTTTGAAATAATCTGATTGATACTATTTTTTAATAGTAATTTTATGATTGATACTATTTTTTAATAGTAATTTTATAGCTAATTTAATACAAATTTTTTAATTAGTACACTTGTATTGTAATGATTCTGTTGCACCTTACTATTGTTCTACATTTATTGTAATTAATGTACTTATTATTTACTTACTTATTTATTTATTTATTTATTAGTATTAGTAGACTGTGGATCCCTGTGCAAATTAAAACTTTTCAGAATATAATTAGAAAAATAGAATAGGCTATAGAAAATTGTTTTGCCTAGCAATCATTGTAAAACAGCACCAAGATTTGAATAGTTCATACTCCTATGTTTTTACGTATTGTGTGCATTCCGTGTAAACTTTAACTTTAAAATTTTCTATAAATGCATGAAAATTCGCAGTTTATTGTTTACTGTTTAAACTACTACTTTACATTTATTATTATTTATTATACATATATTGTTATTAACAAACACATAATCTCGTAGAAAGAATTTTGTACTAACCCCTTGCTTTATAGTAATGTGGTAGATTTATGGTGAAGATTTTAAATAGAATTTAACTAGCATAAATATTACTGAATTCTTTTAAATTGAAAATAATTATTATTCTTCTCTTATCAATGATTATATTTTAGCAAGCATAAATGTAAAACATCACCAGAATTTTTCTCCATTTTTTAAATAAATTATTAGTGGTGTACTTGGAAACTAATGTTATCGCTGATGGAGTATTTACTTATGTAGTTCCTATCCAGGATGGTACTGAATCGATCGGCTGCAAAACTGTATGATCCACGTTAAAATACGCCGTGTAATTATTCTTTAGTTTAATTAACTTACTCATTCTGCTTGTTTCTCTCTTTATTCCGGTTCACTTAGTCATGTATTATGCAAATGAATTGGGCCGTGTGTTACATCAGCCAGTTCCGTCGTCCTTCTACATCAATATACCGATTCGAAAGGTTATCGGTGGCGCTCGCGCCATCGTCCAGTGCGGCAGTCAGTGTTGGATTCCTATATATTGTATAGGAATCTTCTTCTCTAATTTCTCTCATTTACGAATCAAGGACTTCTTTCTTGATCAGTCCCTTCACTACTGTGACCAATGTACAATTTAAGTTATCCGCTAAGGGTAAATTAAGTTAGCATTACGGTTGCGAAAGAAGACGTTGATCGTCTGCCGCGGAATACATCATTTCTTTCCCTCTGGTCTCATATTTCCAATAACGCTGTACTTCTTTAATTAGGTTTAGACTCAAGAAAGAAGACAGCTGCCGAGAGAGTAGGATTAATTGCATTAATATTAAGATGCGTTAGGTTAAGGAGGGGAGATTTGATGAAACAGATCTCCATCTGTCTTTCGTAGTTTGCGTTCGGAATGTACAACTCCACGTTTAAAATTATATTTAATGTACGATCTAATGTTTTAGATTTAATTTCCAGGAAGAAATCATCGATCATCCACCGTAGGATTCTTTATTTCTAATTATTTTTTCTTGTAATTCTTTGTTGCAAATGATAAGAAATTCGTCGAATGTATTATGCAATTAAATTATGTACGTTTTCATATTGCATTACAACATACTATTATATGTAACATATTGTTTTCCATATTGTATTGTATTTTGAAATTGTGAATTATGTTTAACATTTTAATTAAAATTTATAAGAAATTACGAGTATATAAATAAATCTTATGTTGAGACAAGAAAATAAAAAGGAACACGTTTTTTATTTATTTAGTTGTATTTATTTGTACTCTGTTGGTAAGGTTTTAAGTGACACGGAAACGGTTAGGCATCACGTAATCCTCCGGTCGTGGGACAAAAATTTACACATTGCATGTCCAGTCCATCCTATATCTCTTCGGTGTTAACATATAATATGTAAACGCTACAATCTATTCTAATATTGCGTCGATAACGTTGCGGGTGACACGTAAATGATAATGGGACATTAAGGGAACCACGAAAATGTAGTGGATATCAAATCTGTTCTCATATTTCATTCGTGGTTTAGCCATTTTCTATGAAGTTCCATTCAACTTTACTGTTAAGTATTATGATGTTAAGGTAAAGCGCCAATGATCGATCATTTCCGACTAAGGAATTATTTTAAGAATAAAATACGAAATTGTAATGAATTTTGTAAAATTAATGTAGAAAAATTAATATAAATATAATTATATTATAAACATAATTATTATTAATATAATTATATTTATTATGTGTTGAAATGAATGTAACAATTCATTGTAACAATTTAACGAGACATTAATAGGAATTATAAGTATCTAAGATTAATTGATACCTGT